CCTTGCCACGCAAACCCAACACAATATGGAATTCATGGGCATGTGCTATAAGATAAATGTGGACAACTCAAAGTGGTTTGATCATCAGGAGTTAAATATCTAGATTTTTGGATGTCCTTAAAATGAGATGCAATATTTATTTAGCTTTCACTTCAGGACTTTCAGGCTTTTTTGTTTGAAAGATACCTGTTGTAAAGTTTGTGTGGTGGGTTTTTTTCCTAAGCCCCAGTGATTTACAGGTTTTTTAATGAAGCTTTTTCTATGGTATTTCCTTAGAGCTGATGTAGTATGCAGTTAAATGACAGTGCTGTGAATGTTTGAACTTCAAGGTCTCTGTGTTGTGTTTATTCTCCTGGAGACCAAGCATAGATTAAACTTAGCAGAGGAGAATAAAATCCTGCTGAGCTCATTTTTGCTCCCTGGCAAAAGTGGCAAAAAGACAAGTGGGGAGGAAAATAGCTGCTCTTTTTAACAGGTAGACCCATGACCTTGCTTTTGCGATGTTTTTGGGTTTTTTTTTAACACTTTAATCTTGGACTTGGCAGTGTGAGGTTAATGGTTGGACTTGATGATCTTAAAGGTCTTTTCCAACTGAAACGATTCCATGAATCTATGATCTGCTGTGTTTGGAAAACAACTGAGTTTGTCTCTCTCACAAGTAGGACCCTGGGACCCTGGTCACTGGAGTGTGGAAAAGAAACTGCTCATCTGTTTCCAAGTGTGATGTCTTGGCTAGGGAGGTTCTGGTAGCCAACAAGCTAAGTATAAAGATATACGAAGGGCAAAGATGTATCAAGGAAGAAGTTCAGAATTCTGTCCCCATCCATATTTGCATTTTGGAAAAATGATTTATTCAGGAAATGCTGTGAGGCCGAGATGATTTGAGTGCAAGCAGTTAACTACCTGGAAGTATAATGTGAGAAACTTTGGGTCCTGGTTCCAGTGTTTTCAGTGCAGATCCACCCCAGCAGTGGGGCTGGGAGTGGATATGCAGGAACACTGACAGGTTCTGCAGGGGCAGTACCCCAGAAATGAAGCGGGGAGGAGAACTTCCCAGCCTCCTTTACAACTCTGTGTTTGTGCCCTGCAGAGGGGCATGCTGCACAGGCATCTAAACCAGCCTCTGAGTAGATAGAGATCGCTCTGGTACAGCTGTGAGCTTCTGCAGCTCTGCTCCTTCCTTCCAGCCTCTGCTCGAGCTGAGCAACTGCAGTTGGTAGAGGATGTGCCCAGCTGAACACAGCAGCTGTCCCTCCTGCTTTCTGCGTGCTCCAGATGTGCAGGTGCCAGGAGACTCATCCCTTGGCAGCTGTTGATCCAAAGGCATAACTATGGGCACAGCATGATTTTATTTGGAGGTTTATGCCGTCTTTCCCAGCATCATGTTCCTCAGCATTGTACAGGTTGGAGCTGAACGTGGAGGTTTTTTGTGCACAAGCGGTTAAGCTTAAGATCATGTTGCAAATACATGATTGCCATACGTGGGATGCAGGAAATAATGGTTTATTGTTTGAAACGGCAGTCAAAAAAGCTATGCTCAGAAAAAAGAAACAAAAAACAAACCAGGAAAGATTGCAGTAATAAATAATCATGTGTAAACACAGGTGAAACTGTATCTTGGCACAGACGATGTGTGTTTAAAACCAAATTCTAAGCAGAGAGACGTATCAGTGGCCCCAGCGCACTGTGAGACTGGGAAACACACTGCCTGCTCCAGCATGCAAATGCTAGAGCTCACAGGGGTCCCAAAATTCTTGAAAAAAATGTTTAAATGAAAAACCTGTCCAGGCTACTCTGCATCTTGCTGGAGGAGTGTCCAAGGAAGGAGTGCAATAGGAACGAGAGAGGTATGTGCTCTGTCTGGGGCCTCGGCTGGGGCTGGGGCCAGGCTCCTGGGCTGGGCACCCTCACCTTTCCTAAGCAAACGTCATGAGCAGCTGCCTGCGCCTCAGTGCGCTGCCTGGGTGGCATGCTCACTTACCCACTGGATCCCACTCACACCACTCCATTTTGAAAAAAAACAAAAAACAATGAGTAATTTAAAACCAGTTACTGGTTCTGAGCAATGAGAAAGCTGCTTATCAGCTCTCCCAGCTGCTGCCTGCAATGAAGATGGTGTTTCTGTACTTCTAAATCACCTGTGGATGCAAACAATGTCTCTATGCAATCTTTGTGCTGCCAGGGACTTATGTGCAGGGAATGGATATGTCGACTTAAGTGCTTTTGTGGTGTTCTGCACGTGTGTCACTCACTGGCAGGTGCTATAGACCAGTATTTTGGTAGGAGCCAGGTGGCCAGAATTGTCAGTATAAGGAGTAATGGCCTTAAAGCAATAATGGTGATGCAGTACTCATCACATGCAGGTCTGTCCCAGTCTGGACGCCACTTGGAATCACCTGTGAACAAAACAAATTACTTGTTTTCAAGTATAACTGCACCAAGGGCAACAAATGGAAGCAGTAATTCTGGTGGTACTTACTAATGACTTTGTCACGCTCTGCGTTTTCTGCAGAGATAAAAGAAGTAAACATCAGCAGACTTATACATTGTAAACAATTTGAGTCTAAGCAAAAGGGAATGAAGCGTGAGCCTCACAATGGCCTTGCAAATGCAGCTATGGGGGCTGTGCTTCTTTCCAGGAAGATGCAAAGACCTGCTGACTTTGGGAGAGCCCTTCAGCAACTCTCGGGGCTTTGCTGAGGAGCACTTGATCACACTGTGTTGACTTCTCCCCCCACCAGTGGCTGGCATAGAGAGGACTCGTCCCCCCAGGAAGGCCTCACAAGATCACTTTGGGTTTCGCCCAGCACCTTGCATTTAAGATCCTCAGCCTGTAGCTAACATTAAACGGCCCCGTGAGTCAGAGGCTCCCTCTTGTTCCTGCTGGTGTTACAATGCTGCCTTCCCACTCTGTTAGTTCACCCAAGGTCGAGTGCTGGGGAGAAGTGTGACCATACCCTCAGCTCCCCCTGGACAGACGTCCACAGCACAGTGCCTCGTCAGAAGGTCTCCTCTCCACCTGTCTCCATCTGGCTGTCGCAAAGCCAAGTGCAGGTGAATTGGGCAGGCTGCCAGGGGCTCAGGTGAGCACCACGTCCCTGTGAAGGGCTCTCACACCGGTGCGTGTGCATGTCAGCCTGGCTGTCTCCCGGTGCTTGGGGGAAAGCAGATGGCCTGGCCGATGTTCAGTGGAGCGAGCAGCTTTGGCAGTGCTGTGGCATCGTTACCCCCCCCGGCAGTGGCACGGTGGGGAAAGGCTTGCTTGGACCTGCACCAGCTCAAGTTGCAGTTCACGTGCCAAGCGATAACCTGGAGCCCCTGGGAGAGGAAGTGTAGCCCCTTCTGTGCTTCCCATTTCTGCAGGCAGTAACTTCTGGGAGGGTAATAGCACCTTAAACTGCAGCCAATGTATCTCCTGTATTATACCCTCCAGCACTTGAAGAGCAGACCCCATCCCGTCACTCCCCAGGGTAGAAAACACTCTCTTTCCACCCTTCTCCCCTCTCTTTGTGCATCACTGCTCACTTGGCTTCTGACCGTAGTTTTTCAGACTATATTTAGGAACAGGAGAGTGGTGTGCCTGCCTCCTGCCAGGATCTTTTGTGTGCTCTTTCCATTTCTACTTGT